GAAACATTGCCTCCTCTTCAATTGTTGGGAAAGTTTGAGTCCTGGAGTTAATTTTTCTTTAAATGTTTGTTAGAATTTACCAGAGAAATATTTTGGATCTGGGTTTTATTTTGGGGGAAGATTTTTTTATTACCATTTCAATTTCCTTATCAATAATCAATTCTTTGTAGCACATTGATCTACTCATGCTTTCTATTTCCTCTTGATTCAGTTTTGGTAGGTTGTATATTTCTAGGAATTCATCCATTTCTTCAAGTTTTCCCAATTTGTCAGTGTATAATAAGGCCTCATAATCCATTATATTTCTGAAGCATCATTGTAATGCCCACTCTTTCATTTCTGATTTTATGTATTGGGTCTTGTTTTTCCCTTAGTCTAGCTAAGGATTTGTTGATTTTGTTTATCTTTTCAGAAAAATCAAATCACACTTTTGTTGATTTTCTCTAGTTTTTAATGCTTCACTTGCTTTATTTCTACTTAATATTTATTACTTTGTTCCTTCTGCTACCTTTGGACTTAGCTGTTTCTTCTTTTTCTAGGTCTTTAATGTGTAAGATGAGGTTGTTTATTTGAGTTATTTTCTTTTTTAATATAAACATTTAGCACCATAACTTCTCTTTTAGTACTACTTTTGCAGCATTCCATAATTTTGATACATTTTTTCATTTTCATTTGTTTTGAGATACTTTAAAAACTCCCTCTTGATTACCTCTGTGACTCAATAGTTGTTTAAAAAAATACTATTTATTTTCCATGTGTGTACAAAATTTGCTATTTTCCTGCTGTTATTGATTTCTAGTTTCATTTCACTATAGTTAGAAAAGATACTTGGTATGATTTCAATATTTGTAAGTTTGCTAGGACTTGTTTTGTGACCAACCATAGGATCTATTTAGGAGAATGATCCAAGTATGCTTGAAAATAATGTATATTCATCTGTTATTATGTGGAAATTTCTGTATATGTCTGTTGTCCATTTGGATTATAGTATTTAAGTCAGCTTTTTCTTTATAGATTTTCTATCTGGAAATTCTATCCATAACTGTAACTGGAGTATTGAAGTTCCCCATAATTATTGTATTGTTTTCAATTTCTGCCTTCAGATCTGCCAATATTTGCTTTATATATTTAGGTGCTCTGATGTTGGGAGTACATATATTAATAAATGGTATATCTTCCTGTTGACATTTTTATCATTATATAATGACCTTTGTTTCTAGAAACAATTTAAGACTTAAAGTCTTTTTTGTCTAATGCAATTATAGCCACTCTCATTTCTTCTAGTTACTATTTTAACAGTATATCTTTCTCCATCCTTTTGCTTCCAACCTGTGTGTCTTTTAATCCAAATTGAATTACTTGTATACAGCATATTACTAGATCTTGTTTCTTAGCCATTTAGGCACATAGAGCCTTTTAATTGGTGAGTTTAATCTATTTACATTTAAAGTAATTATTGATAAGTGAGGACTTAATATTGCCATCTTGTTAATTGTTTTCTGTTTAAAAGTTGCTTTGTCCCTTTTTCTTGCTATCTTTCTTTGCTATTTATTTATTTTGATAGTGATTTGCTTTGATTCTCTTCTCTTTATCTTTTGTGCATCTCGCACAGGTTTTTACTTTATTTAATTTCTGGCTTGTATAAAATATGTACTTAAACCCTTTAAGTTGATATAACTTAACTTCTACTGCATACAAAAACTCTACACTTTTACTTTCCCCCACGTACTTTGTGTTCTTTAGTCGGTTTGCTTCTTTTTATTCTATGTGTCCACTAACAAATTCTTATTTAACTTTATTAGTTAGAAATAATTTATGCATCATCATTACAATGTTACATTAATCTGTATTTGTCTATATATTTACCTTTGCCAGTGAGATTTATTCATTCATATGATTTTACATTTCTGTTTAAAAGTTTTCATTTCAATGTAAAGAAATCCATAAGCATTTCTTGTAAGGAAGCTCTAATGGTGATGAGCTCCCTCAGTTTTTGTATGTCTGGGAAAGATTTTATCTCTACTTAGTTTTTAGAAAATAACTTTGCAAATTATAATATTCTTTGTTAGCAGTTATTTCTTTCAGTATTTTTAATATATTATCCCACTCTCTCTTGTCCTGCAAAGTTTCTACTGGGAAATTTATGAATAGTCTTATGGTTGTTTCTTCATATGGAACAAATCACTTTTCCCTTGTTGTTTTCAAAATTCTCTCTCTCTCGGTCCTTGACTTCTGACAATTTGATTATAATGTGCCTTACTGTGGTCTCCTTTGGATTGATCCTATTGGAGGATTTTGAGCTTCATTAATCTAGATGTCAATTTCCCTCCACAGATTTGGAGATTATTCAGTCATTATTTATTTAAATAAGCTTTCTTTCTTTTCCTGTTTTCTCCTGCTGGGGCTCCCATAATGTATGTATTGGTTCTATAGAACCAATAAATCCTGGTATCCCATCCAGGATTTTCTGGATGGAATACCATCCAGATTTCTGTTTTTTCTCTGACTAGAATATTTCAAATGCCCTATCTTCAAGTTCACAGATTATTTCTTCTGATTGATCAAGTCTATTGTTGAAGTTCCTTATATAGTTTTCATTCTTTCCAGTATATTCTTCAGCTCCAAAATTTGTTTGGTTCTTTTTTATGGTTCCTATTTCTTTTTGAACTCATTTTGTTCATATATTGTTTTCCTGATTTCCTTGAGTTATTTAACTTATGGTTCACTGACATTCCTTAAAACAATTATTTGAGTTCTTTTCAGGTAACTTGCTCTCCTTTTCCCCCACAGAGGAAAGTTATGACCAAAGAGATCCCTGTTGGTAACAGGATCTGGTTTGAATTTACATATATGGTAGCAGTAGTCCTTTAGAGGCTTTGAAAAACATCAGGGATTTCTTAATTTAAATCTTTAGTAGTAGTAGAAGTAGTAGTATTTTATATCTGCTAATCCTCATTATATCAAGATAAGGATAGATTGCAATCTCTTCATGATCAAGCATAGTGACTACTCTAATTTGATTTCTTTAGCATAAAGTATAACTTATGCATGAATGGAAACCTAATACTTTCTGTCATCACAATGATGAATGTCTGGAGTTAGGCCAGATTATATGCAGCTAAGGAAATTAACTATTTATCAAGTTAGGAATTAGTTCACCAGTATATCTCTCAAAATGTTTTATGTTTTCATGTTGTAATGGAAAAACATAGAAATTTTGTAGAAAGTCTTTCTGAAACTGGTGTACTTGAGAAAAACATGACAGAAATTCTGCTTGAGCTCCCACTAACTTTTATTGATACAAAAAAATATTTTTATTTATAAGAAGCCTCTTGTCAAATGCTGAACACTTTTAAGACACTGTAAGATTTGAAAGCCAGTATGAGTTACAAGGTGTTAGGACTAGGAAACTGATCATCAGTTGATCACTGTATCCTCATCATAAAAACAAGCTCTATTCCAATTTTATTTTGATAAAATAAAGTTGCTGTTTAAAAAAAGCACTGCAGAGGAGGAAGAATGAGGAAAGAGCAAATGCTTTGGGCTTCAGTAGATATGGAATTGAAAATTAGCTCTGCCACTTATTAGTTTTGTGACTATGGGCAAGTCTGAATCACTCTGTGACTCCATATCCTGAACTGCAAAATAGGAATATTTAAAATACCTTTTCTCTGTGAACTTGGTAAAAATTAAATGAGTTAACATGAGAGAAAAAAGATGAGTAACTCTGGTGACCTAATACACAGCATTGTGATTATAGTTAACAATACTGTATTCTATACTTGAAAGTTGCTAAGAGACTAGATCTTAAATGTTTTCATCACAAAAAAGAAATGATAACATGATAGAGGTGTTAGCTAACACTATAGTAGTAATCATATTGCAATATACAAGTGTATCAAATTAACATGTACACCTTAAATTTATGCAATGTTATATGTCCATTATATCTAAATATAAACATGTTTGGAACTAAAGGGAAAATGGGAGTAGTACATAGTAACTGGTAACTTCTTACTGTTGCTGCTGTTCTTTGCTTACTGTTAATATTAGCCTTATCTATGTGTTAATTCCAGTTGCTATGAATCCAGTAAAAGCATACATTTTTCCATTGAGTCCCCACTGTGAGCACTGGCTAAAGACCAATTCTCACTCTGTAAATCATCATGAACATTTCAATTTCAGATGAAGAGAGCCACATGGTATTAAAGTCAGAGTGGTTTATCATACTGATTGATTCAAAAATTTCCGTCTTTCATTCCCCTTTCCTTTTCCTTCCAAAATAAGTCCCCACCATGCTTGAGCTTCTAGGAGCCTAAAAGAAGAGAGATAAGGCTGCTACCAGTCTGCTTATCACACTATACTGAATTGAACTGAAGAGTTAGATTGAAAACCTATGGCTCCTATGAATCTTTGGTCACTCCTTATTATTCCCCATTAAAATTATTATAAATAGTTATAAAATAATTATAAAATTATATATGTATTCATTCATGTGTGTTGATAGTTATAATCCTGCCTACTTCCGAAAGAGATCTGAGAAGTCGTTTCATGATGCAAGGCAAAGTACAACTCTTACAGGGTAAAGAAGAAAAAACAAATAGTAAGAAGGGAGGAGATATTCCACCCCAGAGGTATTTTTCTCTTCTCTCCTTTTCTTCTTTTTTTCTTTGCTTGTTCTTTTTCTTACCCCCTTTCTTTATCCCATGTTGATAATGCCTCGAGTTTCTGACAGCACCTTCACTTAGCTAAGGAAGTGATACTCCAGCTGAAGAGACTGTAGCCCAGCCAGGGTAGATTCTCAGAACTGTTCTTCAGTGGTAAATTTTTTACAGAAAGATGAAGCCTGGGGTGAAACTTATGGGGCAGGCTTTAGTAAGCAGTAATAACTGCTTCTAATAAGAGTACACATATTACTCTTCAGGTCCACTCATTCCTCCTCTCTCCAATCCCAGAATAAGTCGATGAGTCAACAGCCTTGGATTTTTGAAGACCCTCACCTGTATTTGAATTAAGATCATCAGGTTCTGATTCGGTCCCATTTTGGCTTCCATTTCCCTGAAGTGTGTTCATAGCCATAAACTTCATCTTCTGCAGCTTCATTGCCTCAGCCATTGCTGCAGCTGTTATACCTAAAACCAGAACAAACCCTTTTAAAATGAGGACCATTTTCTTAATGTAATTAAAAACTGGATACATGTCTTTAACAGGCCTATGCTGCACAACACAAGCCAAAAATAAACCCTTCTGATTTATAATACTATTTAACAAAGTAATTTTCAACTCACGTAATTACTTCATTTTACACTAAGCAGTATAAAAATCTAATAAAAGCACAAATCTGGGTCTGATCTCTAATTCAAAACACAAAGGAAACAATGAGAATGATATGAAAATTGAGAAATTCCAGCTTTTACTAATGTGTTCTGGTGTCTGTTTAACACTCTGGACAGTTGTTTTAGAAATAACTCACCATATATTAAATTCCATCTAAAACAACATTGTCAGAGAAAGCACTCTGAAATGCTGAAAGGAATCACTTTCTGGTGAAAATCCTCATTGGCATTTCTGCTAAAGGAAAGGCTGTCTTACTTCAGAGAGTTACCTTCAAATGGAGGGTGAGCAAATTCAGAAAGAAATATTAAGGTGCTGCAAGAATATTTAGGAGTTCTAAATGCTAATTTTAGTTCAATCTGTTCATTTTGAATATGAGGAAACAGTCTCACCCTGACCTGCCATAGGTCAGTTATAAAGGGGAGGACATGGAGCAAAAACCAAAGTTTCCTGATGGGACCTCAATATATTTGTTAAAGTGCTGAAGTAGTTCAACTGTGATTTAATAAAAATCTGTAAAGATATATGACCCCTTTACAACATACAGTCTTGTATTGTTAGCTGCCTTTCTTGTATCTCCTTACATTTGATTAGAAATTTAGAAGCTTAGCCTCTAACTCACATATTTTGTATTGCCACATGGTCCATATTGCAGTGACTTTAACTTATAAATACTTAAATCCTGTTTGTTCAGTTTTCAGTACAGCACTTGGATGGCTATGTCTTCAAGTAAAACCATAAGCTAGCAGATGGAATGCAATGCAATAGATGCTATGGTTTATTTGACCTTTCAAATAAACCATATCAATTTATCCTTTAACTCAACTATTTAGTTCAATTCTTAAACTCAAGATTCTGTGTAGTGTAACACTGATGGGTTTAAAAAGGTAAATCATCTCCTGGCACCAAGCTCTTAGAATGCAGCCCTGGAATATCACACAAAAGGAACAAGCCGACTTAGGAGATGCTGAATTAAATTTTACTTGGAAACCAGAATTTCAGCTTGCAACAGATAAATAGAAAACGGTAAGTTTAATGTGTATGAAAATATACCTTTAAAACTGAAAGTGGTGCAACTATAGGTAAGTATCTACATAAACACCCAATAATATATAAATTCTTTTTCAAAGCAGCCAGTAACATATAGGTTGTCTTTTTCAGTCACTAAATCTGATCATGGTAATTTTTACATTATGTTCACATTACATATATTTAACTGACTGAAACAGATTTGGAAAGGCAGTGACTCAGTGTTACAGGGTAATCATTCACCTTTTGCACTTTCTGATATTGGAGTGTCTACTTCTGTAACTTCAGCATCTTCCATTCTTGTTCACCTAATTTCATGATTGTCTCAATGTCTAGTCACTAAAATTTATAATTATTGACTAAATCACAATGTACAACCTTTATGGTAATTTACACTCACTTCCTGATTTAAAATTCAACATAACAATATGAACATGCCCAACATATCATAATTTTATGTGTATGCACATGCACATGTGTGTGTGTGTGTAATTGACTATTATTATTGTTAGTAAGTATACAAGCTCCAACTCAGACTTAGGGTGGTGTAAAAAGTTCTTAAGAGTTACAAGAACTTTAACGAATATTTGATCCAACCCCTCCATTTTATAAATGAAAAACTGAGTTTCTGAGTGGAAAAGTGAGGGGCTTAATATAACACAGCCAGTCAATGGCAGGGGTAGGATAAGAACTCATGTCTCCTGACTTTTATCACAATTGCTCTGTCGATTAATTTCTACCTGCCTAATCTTAATTTTTTATTTCTTTAAAACTCCTAAAATGGGTCTGCAGTGATGTTCTATGGCTCACTGACCATAACATGGGAGAAATTGTGTCATATAACTTCTCAGGTCTTCAGTCTATTCATATGTAAAATTAAGGAGTTGGAATAAATGGTCTTTACAGTCCTTTGTGAAGCAATAATTCTGACTAGATTTACTTTGTACTATATCGTTTTCTGAAGCCCTTGTGGTTTTGTATTATCTTGCATGCTTTTCTTGCTAGTAAACAAGCATTAGACTTACCACTTTATGTGATCTATAATCCTCAAAACTAGAAATGCAGGGGAGATAAAATGCATGGCTTGTCGTAAAATTTAAAAGGGGAAAAATAGTGAATTTGGGTTCGTATCAATTATCTGAACAAAAATTAAGGCAACTTTTTAGTTTCTTAATTGGTTATACTGTGCCCATCTCTTCATATTAGTTTGAAGCTTTTCTGTCAAAACTGTGAACAAGTAAATTAACTAAAGGAGAACTACGAGTAATCAAATCCTGAGGTTTACAATTAATTAAATGAAATGGTGAGTCAGTTCACTGCATTATGGTTTTATATTTCAAAAATGACATTTAATTTAATTAACAGTCAAAGCATTACATTAATAATACCCCTTCAAAAATGAAAAGCAGTTTAGATCGGCCACATTATTTCACTCTACCAGTCAAGTACTGTGTGTTGGCTTGTTCATTATCTGCATTTAAAGCTACTTTGTGTCAACTGTAATGTGCTAAAACATGAATAACGAAACATCTGGAAGAATAAAATGTTAATGCACTATACCACATTGGATCTAGGGGAAACAGTTCTGCAATTCCCTACAAATCAACTGAGAAGATATAAGTTATTTCCAAACAGAGGTAGTATTCAGGTTCATATTCAGGAGATGCTTGCACTCTGACCTCTTATTCAGAGAAGCACATGAACTCTAAAAAATTCAGAATGCAACTAAAGGGAAAGCCATAAGAATAGAAAGACTGGTAAAATCAAAGGGCAGCCATGTGCAAGCAGTTGCAGGCCACCCAAATGAAGAGCAAATATGCACTGATTCTTAGGAATCACCATTCAGGGATAGATACAGCATTAAAAATTACTCAGCTCTATAGTTGTGAGGGCAAGGTAGACAAAACACAGTTATGGGAAGTTTCCAAAAGTTGACAGCAGCTGCATTTGGCTAGATATCAGCAAAGCCATCATACAATGCAGGCACTAGAAATCCACTATATTGGCATGAGATATTGGCACATTTTGTTGAATTACAGATAGACACAGAAAGAAGATGCACTTAGTCTTTGCTGAAGTTCATTGTGTCCTAACAACAGATTGGAGGATATACAATTAGGCAGTGTATTTGCCATTCAGAATGGAGTCAGAGACAGGAAAATGACAATTAGTAAGGGTTGACAGGACAATCAGCACAGCAGAGTAGAGAATGCAACCAAACCAGGAACCCAGGAGAAATCTGGCTGCTGTTTTGAGCAAACTGCTGTCCTATAGCCTGAACTGCCTAACAAAATACCAGGTTGCCAAGCAACTGTTTATTTTCCTGTAGACTCTTCTGAAAATGCATAATTGCATAATAGGCATTTAAGAGTTTGAAAGTCTAATAATCTCTTCAAATGTTCCTATTACATTTACTGTTAACTGATTAAAAGCCAGAAAGAAGCACACTGAGCTTGTCTTACATCAACATTTCCTAAATTATGTTCCATTTCACTACTTGTTAAACAAAATGTTAAGGGAGTTTGTTAAAAAGAGTGGGAATGGGTAAGAAGAGTTCCACACCCAATTTAGGCAACACTGGGTTGAAGATAAAAAATGTTATAAAGCACTTATATCACACATTGTTTGTAAGTTCTTCACATATTTGCTTACTTAACATTGACAAAAACTTAAGAGGGAAGTACCATTACTATTTTCATTTTTCAGATAAGGAAACTGAGTCACAGAAACTGAATAAGTTCACATAGCTAATAAACTGAAGTTGGGGTTTAAATCCAGGTACTTTAGCTCCAGGTTTCTTTACTGTAGATTTTTTCATTGCTTATAATATGCTAATATTTATTGTGATATTCTTTTAAAATAGAGCACACTACAGTTTCTAAACATATTGGATAATGGAACTCTTTTACAGGGAATACCTGTTAATGGCTCTAAAGACACTAATACTTCACTGAACATAGTTTGAGAAATGTTGCTGTAAATCATTTTTTAAACTGGGATTGCAAGCTTAAATTCAACTACTTAAACACTATTTTCTTCGGTATTTGAATTTAATCTATATTTATAAGTATCAGGAATCCTCATAGTTTACATAAAGTCAACTATTCTCACTGAGTAATAATAAGTTATACTTGTCTTTGGTGATATAATTTTAAATTGGAAATGTTCCAGGTTTTTAAACATAGTCACTAATATGATTATCATGCTAGCACCTCTCAATAGACCATTTGTTTATGAAAATTTGAGTTATATGAACACTTCTAATAGTACATATACCTTCTAGTAGGTTATAACACCTCCCTTGGTACCTTATTTGAGCATTTCTGTAGAATGTTACTAGATGTGTCAAGATGATTTCTTAGGCCTTCAGCCCTGACCTCCTATTGGTCTATGATTTTGAAGCCATCAGTGGCATGCCCAACAAATTTCATTGTAAGTCTAACTCCTCAAATTTCTGAAATACAGCTTTCTAGAGACACCTATCAAATTTGATAAGCCAGATAAAAATTTTAAAGCTAACAGTTCACATACAAAAATTAGTTTGAATACACAAAATGTTAAGGGAGTTTGTTAAAAAAAGTGGGAAAGTGTAAGAAGAGTTCCACAGCCAATTTAGGCAACACTGGGTTGAAGATAAAAAATGTTATAAAGCACTTATGTCACACATTGTTGTAAGTTCTTCACATATTTGCTTACTTAACATTGACAAAAACTTAAGAGGGAAGTACCATTACTATTTTCATTTTTCAGATAAGGAAACTGAGTCACAGAAACTGAATAAGGTCACATAACTAATAAACTTTGAAGTTGGGGTTTAAATCCAGGTAAAATAAGCTAGTCAGCTTATTTTATCTTATTCTTATTCTCAAAGACATTCTGGACACTTTAAAATATATTTGGTTGTTCATTTCAGTAGCACATATGCTAAAATTAAAACATTAAGGAGAAAATTACAATTGTCCCTGCATAATCATAAAATGCAAACTTGTGAAGCATTCCATGTTTTTGGTGATGTTTGGAAAACATTGCAAATGTACTTAATGCCACTAAATTGTATACTAGAAATGGTTAAAACAGTACATTTTATGCTATGTACATTTTATCACAACAGAAGAAAACACATTTGGTCAAGTCAGTGATCTCCTGTATTCAAACACTGATAACAAGCATACAAAAGAAGGAAAAGATTATTAGGTTCTGATTTACTGCCTAATTTGTGGTTATTTTTCTTCCGTACTTGCCGTGTTCAGGTTTCAGTTCAAATATATTAACCAAATTTAATTTATATTTTGAAATGTTCTTGACTGTAACAATGGTGCCAACAAGAATGTGCACAATAAAATACACAGCATCTGAATTATATATAACTTTATAGAAACAGCCAGCCATGGAAGAGTCACATTCTTAGAAGAAAGCTGAAAAACAGATACTGACACATTAACTCAATTCACTTTTGATTTGTAAATCAATAATAACAGCAATTCATCAAAGTGAATTCCAAAGTGATTTAGTATTTCTCAGCAGCAGATATCACCAATACATAGAAATGAGAGAAAGAGAGCAAATTAGCACTAACAACATTGATAAGAGAGAAAGAGAAAAATCTAGCCAAGTTCTAAAATATAAAAAAGTCAAGTTTGCCTTAAGATAGCTTCCAGACTGGAAAAGAAATTCGATTCCCTAAATGTACTTTTGAAATATGCATTTCAAGGAATCAGAAGATGATTAGGAAGATATACTTAAGACTTTTCACTGAGGGTATTAATATAAAAAAGTGATTGGTAATTTCTGTGAAGTTTCATTGTCTCCAAATGGTTTTGGTCTGCTCACTGCAGCTCTAAGACTCATATTTTGGAGACACAGTTCTGCCTGTCTGGAAAAACAGCACTGCATTTCAAAATTAGATAAAATAAAATATATTTTGTTTAGAAAGTAAATTTTGCTATCCATTTCCCTTTAGAAATACAACAAATGGGAAATTAGCCTCAATCTACTCTGGCCTAAAATAAGCTGTAGTGCTAACTTCTGTGTAGCAGCTCATGGAAATTCAAATGCATTTTGTGTTTGTTAAAATGTATCAAACTGCCACTAGGAGAATATTAAACATCAATACAAACCACCTTTCAGAAAGCTAATTGGCTTCCTGAAGATCACTGCCACTCATGGCTTTTAAGCAGCTTGTCTTCCTTTGGGTATGCCATATAAGGGCCAAAGAATCAACTATGCAATCAATCCTCCACTCTTTCAGGTAGTAGTTCTCAAATACTTCTATGCTCTGTTGCCCAGAGAGCTACTACAAAGATTCTTTGTTGTTTTTATTCAACATAAACGCATGTTGCTGTCTAAATATTTATATACTACTTAAAGGAATACCAAAAAATCCAGCAAAACATCTAGAAATGTTGATTGTTCAAAAGAATTCTTCATTTTAAGGATAATCTGCATATTTATGATTAACAGAGATATAAATCATAACATCAGGAAGGATCTAAGGAAATTGCAAGGATAGTTATATACTGGACCAAATTATGATATAAAGAATACTGTATGAGGAAACAGAATAGCTGGACATTAAAACTGAATTCATCTATATTTTGTTATATCACTATCTGTGGCACTCTTAGCATCAGTTTTCTTGTCTTTAAAATGAAGTTCAAGAAAGCAACCAAGATGTCTTTCAGTAGGGTAAATAAAATACACTAAAGTACATCCAGACAATGGAATATTATTCAGCGCTAAAAGGAAATGAGCTAGGAAGTTCTGAAAAGACATGGCGGAACCTGAAATGCATATTGCTAAATGAAAGAAGCTAATCTGAAGTGGCTACATACTGTATGATTCCAACTATCTGATATTCTAGAAAAGGCAAAACTATGGAAACAATAAATATATCAGTGATTGTCAGGGATGGGTGGGAGGAGGAAATTAATAGGCAGAGGACAGCATTTTTAGAGCAGTGAAAATACTCTGCATGATATTATAATGATGAAGATATGTTATTATGTATTTGTCCAAGCCCATAGAATGTACAACACCGTGAGTGAACCCTAAGGGGAAACTATGGACTTTGGGTTACAATGATGTATTAATGTAGGTTCATCCTTAGTAACAAATGTACCATTCTGCTAAGTGATATTGATAATGGGGGAGGCTATGCATATGTGGAGCAGGGGATATATGGTAAATATCTGTCATCTTCTCAACTTTATTGTAAACCTGAAACTGCTCTAAAAACACTGTAAAAAAACTGAGATTCAATGCAATGTTAACTTTTAGTTAGTCTACATGGAATACATTACTTTGAAGATAACTTGTTGAATTGTCGTTTATTAATTTTAGACATTAATCATGTCTTCTTTGCCTAGGCTAAAAGCTACTTACTGGAAGAAACTGTTTTGTTATTAGCCTTTGCATTCCTTGGTGCCTGACATTATAATGGGTGTATGATGGGACCCAGTGGATGACTGCCGAATATCCAAATGTTGGGAAGGGCAGCCACCAGGAAGAAGAAAAAGGGTTATTTTCCCAACACTAGTAATTATGCATGATTCTCTAGCAGTAGTTCTATTTTGCCTTATCACTATGATTACACATTCTGCCTGACCTTCCTGCCAAGATATTACAACAAGCAGGAGAAGTGGGCAGAGACAGAGACTCAAACACCAAAAATGCTGACATTTCTGCCTTTGTTTTTCTCTTTCACTTTCTGATGGGGCAATTCTTCATAATCAGCTTATGCATATACTTACTGAAGCAGTATATATCAAGCATCTGTTTTAGAAAGCAAAGCAATATTTTATACTGAACATAATTATGTGAAAATTTTGCATCACAACTTGTCTTATTCTCAATTTAGGAAGCACATGAAGTTAACCATAGGTGTATTGATGTAAATGTATGAATAAACTTACAGTCACATCTCAGAGGCTTCCCTTTGTATAATATTCAAGGAAATGTGAATGCTAGTTCTTTTAAATCTAAAACGTTAAGAGACTAATTCCAAAACTACAGAACACAAGAGATAAGGAAGACAGTCTCAACTATGCCCACTAAAATAATAATAATCCAACTTAATTACATGTACATGTTGCTATAAGCTTTGAGATATAAATATTGATAATCATGTCTCCATTGGCTATTAGAATGTATAATTAGCTTAAAGTTACCTAAAACAACCAACAACAGGAACCTTTGTTATATGAATTACAAGGGCAAGTAAATAGATATGAGAACCTGGCTCTTATTCTCGGGTCTTCAGTGGACACAAGGTAACTGGCAAGATTATTTTTCAAAGCTTATGTTCTTTTACCTGATAAAATACAGTGTGATTAATTCAAGTCTATTGTTACTTTGAAATTCACTAGCCTATTGCATTTTTAATGATCAAATATAATCAAACTTTTAGTGTTGTTATTTTCATATTAAAACTATACTCTCTAAATTTCTAGGACCAGAAAGACCTGGCTGCCAGAACAGCACGGCCAAGAATTCTTCTACAACATATGCAGTTTTACTTTACATAGACCTCACTTTCTTCAAGAGCAGTATCATTCCCAGGATAGCCAAGGTTTAGGAATGAGATACTGTCATCCAACATTTAAAAATATCAAATGGGCATGATTTACTGCTAAAATTGATGTGGAGAATATTATCCTCACTTAAGACACTAAGATGACATGTTTGAACTACAGGCATCCAGTATTTCATTTCACAGCAGAATAGATAGGTGCATAGGAGAATTCTGACTCCTAACCATCCTGCTCAAAAGTTTTATTATCTGATACATATGAGTTAGTGCTTAGATAATAGAATTAATTCTAAATTAAATAACTAGGTCAGATCATTCATAGATGAGATATACTCACACAAACATTCACACCCAATAAAAAGGATTCTGCATGGAGCTGGGGTCTACTGGATGATTTATAAGGTGGCACATTCTGGTTTTCTGAATTTTGTCACAGTCCTATTAACAATAAATTCAGAAAGAGATACAAAACCATTTTCTCTACTTGCAATCAATAGCTTGAGGTTGCTAAAGGGGAACACTAACTCAAATGGATCAAATGAAACAGAAGCCATAAAGAAATTTATCTCTTTCCTAATGCTTTTTTCAGTCAGAATTCCAAACATGTTGGTAATAATATGTCTGAACTCAAAACTGCTATAGCTAGAGATAAACATAAACAGCTGGGAGACAGATGAGGATGGAATGGCCCAGCACAATGATAAGAACACTATACCATCTTGATGATGAGACAAGGGACTCCATCTTTTGTGGCTTTGTGAATTTCCATGGCTACTGTTTCTATGAATAAGAGTATGTCCAGAATCAACAAAATGAGAACAGAAACATCATCTCCAATTCCAGTTCACCAAACTATGTTCCATTTATTCCCTTTCACTTCAATTGATTTGTTTCTTTTCCTTTGTCATTCTAGGTTTTTCATATTGTTGGAAGGATGAGTTTCCATAAAGACTGTAGTTATTTGTACAAACAGATTGGCATAAATCATGGGCTTTCCTGAGTCAAAGTAAATCTTTCAAGGTATACTTTCATAATTTCAAGGTTATCTATACCACCATTCCTTCTGTTGGTGAGCCTAGTAATGAAACCCCAACTCTCAAACTAAACTGTCTCTTAACCTGTTAGTAGTCTCTACTTTTTTTTTAAGGAACATGGGATCTTCCTTTAGTTATATGTGCTACTTTCAAACAATTGCCATGTATCTTAGGAGCATTTAAAAAATATGTATTTGCTCTGGCTGGTTGCAGTTGAATTGGGTGCATAAGAAATTTTGAAAGTTCCACAAGAAATAATCAAATTATATAGATGAAGTGCACTCTACTCTTTAGTTTGAATCCATGCTAGCACTAATTTTTAACACAATGTTAATTTTCAAAAGTTGATTTTAAATAGTATTACTTCAAACTCATACATTAAGCATCTAAAAGGGAAATCACGACTCTATAGAATGAACTAAGAACTTCAGAATCACCTTTTTAA